TGGGATAGATATATAGTTGCATTCTCTTAATGAATAGAATGATTTTTTCTAATGGTGTTTGTAAGTAGGATCACAAGTCCGCATCTTGTACAGCAGTTAACCACTAAGAAGAATATATGCAGTGTATTATTTTTTGAAACTGTACTTTCGATTTGATTTGAAACTGTCTCATTGCTATATGTTTATCAATAAAACTTTGAAAAGAAAAAAAATCTTTATCTAGAACTATCAATATTGGACAAGGATGGCTAGGAACAATATCAGGAACTTTACATTCATAACTTCTAATCTCTGGGATAGCTCTGTGCAGAAAGCTCCTTGTGTAGATGAGAAATCAATTCTGAGAAGTTCAGCTGTCATTCTAAGTTGCTTTGTTATTAAGTGGCAGAGCTGAGATTCAAATACAAGCCCCCTTAACCTAACGCCTCAGCTGTGCACTATGTTGCCAGGCTCTCCGGTCTCCTGCAGAGCTGGCTCAGGGCTGAGCCTGGCTACTCCTGGAGCTCCTGAGTCAGCAGCTTGGGGCAGGGCCCAGACACAAGTGACTTTTCGGATTCTCCCCAGGGCACTCAAAAGCCAGCCACAATTTATAGCAGAACTCTGATTTACCTTTCTTTATTCCAGAAAACTTTAATAATCAAGAAATCATTTAGCCAGGCCGGCAGACAAAACTTCTAAGTGTGAAAGGATCCAGGAGGGCTCTGTTCATATCTGGAGTAAGATACATCATGAAGAATCTACTTTCCCCATGCAGCCTGCCCTGCCATTACATGCTCCGGGAGGAGGATCAGCTTCCCTCATGCACTTAAAACTCCTTTGCTTTTGTTTTCTTTCTCTTTCTTTCTTTCTTTCTTTCTTTCTTTCTTTCTTTCTTTCTTTCTTTCTTTCTTTCTTTTCTTTCTTTCTTTCTTTCTTTCTTTCTTTTCTTTTTCTTTCTTTCTCTTTCTTTCTTCTTTCTTCCTTTCTCTTTCTCATCCAGGCAATGGAAGAAATGCACAGAAGCTGATAAAAGGAATGCCTGATTTTTAACTAATGAACAATTTTGGAGATATATGCATATGTGAGACAGAGTGAAATGACAGCTTTAAGATTTTCTGCATGGGGTATCTGCTCATTTTCTCTGAACTATCGTATATACTACTAGGATGGAAAACCTTAAGTAGCTGCAGATTCTTAAATATCTGTATCATCTATATTTTAGTACACGGTCTACAGGGTTCAGGGTCTACAGTGTTTCACAACATAGATCAGACCCATGGTGATGCTCCTGTTTTCAGCCTCCCAAGCACTAGGATTAAAGGTGCCCGCCACCATGCCCAGTCTCAATTGCCATCTCATGCTCCCCAGGGGCGGGGCAGGCACCTCATGCTGGGGATTGAACCCTGGCCACTGTGCTCTGCCTAAGCAGATGCTTTAGTCTCCCGAGCTATCTGGCTGGCAGTATATCATCTATAACTATATCTATATGTATATCTATATATCTATTTCTATACATCTATATCTACAAATATTGGATAAGTATATATATGTATATATGTATATATATGCTACAGGTAGGTCTTGATGGGCAATTACATATGTATATTCATGTATCTGAGTTTTCCAATTTATTCTCTAGTCTTTAATTGCTTTGTAACTGTGTCATTGCCATTATAGAATAGAAAAGCACCAGAGGTCCTATTAGTGTTTCGCACTGGGTAGAAAGAGGCTCATTCCCTATCGTGATCTATAATCACACTTTCTTACAGGCGATGGGGGAAGATGCGGAGCAACCTCAGAAGAGCTTCCTGTAGAGGGACCTAGTGGGAGCTGCGCTGCTCGGTGAGGTCCCCTGCCTACTGTCTGAATGACAGAAATATCTCTCACTGGTTTCAAGACTTATTCATAGCCAAGAAGTAAATAAAATTAATAATTTTCCTTTTCTTCAAAAAATGTTTCTGAACATTGACTGTGTGTATGATAGTTGGGGAAGGGGACAGACACGAATCAGGTACAAATCGTATCATTAGCAGATGGTGATCTAAGAGAAAAAAGACAATCACATCCTGGGGTAGAAAGCAGTGCCTAGAGGAGGAGGTTTTGGCGATGGCTGTGGAGAGGAGAGTCTGTAGTCTGGACCCTGCGGATATGCCTCAATAGACTTCCCAGCCACCCACGTGCGAAGCTGTGCTCTTGGCTGGGCTCGGTGGCACATGCCCATAATACTGGAACCCCAGGGGGACTGAGGCAGGTGCATTGTAATGTAGTAATCTGTGAGACTCTGTCTTAAAATGAAAAGAGTGCTGGAGATAAAATGTGCGTAGTACCTGGGTTCAATCTCCATATAAGAAAGTAAGTGGGGGGGGTGCGGGGGGAGTAAGGGGGGAGAAGGAGAGGGAGAGGCAGAGAGGAAGTGAGAGGGAGAGGGAGAGGGAGAGAGGGAATAAGAGGGACAGAGAGAGGGGGAGAGGGAGGGGGAGGGAGGGAAGGAGGCAGGGAGGGAGGCAGGCAGGCAGGCAGGCAAGCAACTACCCTACCCCCATGCTGTCCTACAGTCCTCCTGTTGCTTGCAGAGGCCCTTCCCTTCTTGCAGCTCAGGCTATAATCCCGCAGTCATCTTTGAATCTTTGTTCTCACTTACTTCCTATTTTCAGTCCTTCTACAAATCGCATGTGTTGTATCTTCACAATCTGTCCAGGTGAGGCTTCTATGGAAAATTCCCTTGTACGCACTGTGTCCCCCTGGTGAGGAGGGACTCTGAACGCGAACCCACACTGCAGCCCGCATCTTCTGTGCTTCTTCCCACGGCTGGCGTGGTTCGTAGGAATCCGTCTTGTGTGGTGCAGATGCCCCAGGAGAGCAGGGTTAGGAAATCAGACACAGGAGATGTGTGAGGATCAGATCACAGAGGGGTTTCAATTCCAGTTAAAGAGTTTAGGTTTTATTTCACAAAACACAGAGAGATTTAACAAGTTGGGTTGGAAAATGCTAGAATTTAAACTGCACCAAGGGAAGGTTCAGCTGACAGCAGGGTGTGCCAAGGGAGAAGGGTGGTAGCTGTTCCTCTCGGCTGGTGGCAAGGTGCTGACACAGGTGGCACTGGGGCTGGAATCTGCGTGCTCTGCAGTGACAGTGGCCATGTGAGAGGCTAATTAACAGGAAGTAGCAAATTACTGACTTTGCAGGAACGAAGGGAAGACTCAAAGGTACTGCTGTTTCCCCATGATCTTTGTCACATAGTTTACATACAATCGACACACTGAGATTGAAAATTTAAAGCTGTGGTGGGGGGGATAGTGAGGTCGCTAAAGAATTTTATTTTGAAAAGAAAATGAAAAGTTCGATTGATGTTTGATTGCCTTGGGTCATTTTGTCGAAGCTATCAAATCAGGCCTGGGAAGCTGAGGCTCAAGTTACAGAGTAGCAGTCAGTCGATCAACTGTAATATCAGCGAGACTTTTGACTGCATAATCTGAAATTCCTCCTTCGGTAAACACTCAGATAATCTTGACAGTACATATCATATGATGATTTTTTTAATTTCAAGGTTCCAAAGCTATGAGTGCTGAAATCTGAACAAAAGAAGGAATTAGATGTAAGCATCAAACTAAGATCCAGAAAAGCCTCTTTCAAGAATGGACAATTTCAACAAAGTAAAAATGCATCCCCAGGGAATGGAGAGCACTAAAGAGCTTAATGTAGCTTTATTTCTGCATGAAAAAAGAAAAGAGGACCTCTAAAGTTTTGTAACTACAGCAGTGGACTCATACTATTTTTGCAGTTGAAATATAGACAACTTCTAGAATCCAGGAACCCACAGAGACCAAAAGATTATTTAAAAAATGAACTGAGGCTAGTAGTTCTCCAGGACCGTCTAGACAAGTAAATCACAATAAAACGATAGCTTCAAGTTTCTACCAGCCTCCCTCCAATACAAGCCTGGGGATACTATGGTCCTAGAAGGACCTTATATGCCAGACTTTTCTTTTTCTTGCTTTATAGCCTTTTCTACCAGTGGTAGAAGAGCAAATCTCCCTTTTCTGATGGAAAATCTAGGAAAGAGAGGTTTGCTTGTGGGTCGGTCTTCAAGGTTCAGCTTTCAAAATGCTGATGGAGCCCATCACATAGCTTTTAGGCAACAGCAGAAGGACTGATTAGGGCAGGCCAAACAGCTCAGCAGATTGAAGCACCTACAAGCAGGTCAGGGGCCGGGAGTTTGATCCCAGGCCTGTCATTTACCGGTCCCACCTCTGGGGCATGCACTGAGATGGCAGTTGAGACTGGGCGTGGTGATGCGTGCCTGTAATCCCAGCTCTTGGGAGTCTGTAAACAGGCAGATCACTACGAGTCTGATCTAGTAGCAAGACCCTGAACACCCTGTAGGCCCTCCCCTAAAAAAATACAAAAAAAAAAAGGACTGATTAAAATACAAGATGAATGTTTAACTTTTTAAAATGTATTACAGTAAAACACACACTGCCATGAATTTTCCTCAAAATACTTTCCCTGGCTTTGAGAACACTCACCCCATCATTCTTTCCAGGTCTGGAAGTCTTCCTTTGTGTGTTTCATTGAACTATTGTGGTTGCCTCAATATCCTGAGATGATTCAAAAGGTTTGCTTTTCATAGTCATTGCCACTTTGGACAAGAGCCAGGAGGTGCATGGTGCCAGATCTGGTGAATAAGGTGGGTGGGGACACAGCATTGTGTTCAGATGAGTCTGTCTTGCTGTTGGATGGCACTTGGCAACAGACCTCATCTTTTCTTTCTTTTAATCATACTTCGTGAAAATACTCAGGAAGGAGAAGTTGTAGAAAGTGTCAAGAATGGTGAGCCACATGTGTTTGAAGAGAGGGGGGATTTTGAGGGGACTAATGACAACATGTCTTTTATTGTAATGATTTCTTCTTTTTGAACACACCCTATGTTTATTGATCAGCCTTTGTACAAACCTACCTTGTAATTTGGAGGTCAGACTACAGAGAAAACCCTTTGTCTCATTTTTGTAGGCATGAAATTGAATACACTTACGTCAATAATACTGGTTAATTAAATGACAAAGAATCTATCTGTGGGACAAACCAAAAAATGAAGTCAGAAATAGAGGAAGCTCTAGCTGAGCAGCTTGGGGGTGAATTCCCTTTGGTGTTCAGGAGCCATTGGTTGGGACAGCTGCAAATGTATTTTGGGTATTCACAAAAGCAAATTACCCACAAATTGTTTCAGCAAAAGGATCAGAATAAAATGTTGGGGCCGGGGAGATGGCTCAGTAGAATAAGCATTGCCTGGCAAACGCAAGGGCCTGAATTCAATCCCTGGTTCCACAAAAAAAAAA